TAAGTGGTAGATAGCAGTGACTTATTTTATAATGCTGATCCATCTTTGCATACCTGCTGTGAATCCTGTCTGATAATGACACTTTGGGCATTTTGGTATTTTGTGTGTGTGTATTTTGTTGGATTCTGCTGCTGAGGACTTTGTTGGGAACTTTTGCATCTACCACATATACTTGAGTATAAGCCGCCCCAAATATCAGCCAAGGCACCTAATTTTACCACAAAAACTACATTCAAAGTGTGCTGAAAAACTTAGCTTATATATGAGTATATATGGTATGTTCATGAGAATAATTGGTCCCTGTATATATTTTTAGCTATGTCTCTGGTTTTGTATCAGGGTTATCCTTAATTCATGAAATTCCTTTACTCAGTTTGTGTAGAATTAGTGTCAGCTCTTCTCTGAATGTTTGGTAGAATTCACCATTGAAGCTGTCTGGGCCCAGGTTTTTTTCTTTGTTGTTAGGAATTTTTATTTTTAAGCAACCTACCTGATCAATTTCTTCTTTTGTTCTGTATCTTTTAAGGTTTTCTACTTGAGTCTGTTAGCTTAAATAGGTAGTTTGTTTCTAGAAATCTGCCCATTTCTTCTAGGTTTTCAAATTTGTTGGAGTGCAGTGCTTGCAGTGAGCAGCCCACAGTGTAACCACTACACCACCAGGGCTCTAGAGTACAGGTTTTAATAATATTATATTTTTAATCCTTTTTATTTCAGTTGTTTCTGCTGTGATATCATCTTTTTCATTTCTTATTTGCAATATTTACATCTCGTTACATTTCCTAGTGATTTTGTCATGTTAATCCATTCAAAGAGCCTTTTTTGTCATGTTGTTTCTATTTTTCTGTTTTGTTTATTGTATTGTATTTTTTGTTTATTGTATAAAAGATCATTTTATTGGGGACTCTTAAACTCTTGTTACAATCCATACATCAGTTGTATCAGGCATATTTGTACATAATGTTGCCATCATTCTTTTCTAGACATTTACTTTCGATTGAGTCCTTGTCTATTTCACTAATTTCTGTGTTGGGTGTCAAGTTGGTCCTAGCGTATAGCAATCCTATGGACAAGGGAACGAGACACCACCTGGTCCTACACCATCCTAATAGTTGTTTGTATGCTTGAGCCCATTGTTGCAGCCACTGTGTCAACCCATCTTGTCAAGGGCCTTCCTCTTTTTCCCTGCCCCTCCACGTTACCAAGCATGATGTCCTTCTCCAGGGTCTGGTCTCTCCGGACAGCATGTCCAAAGTATGTGAGACAAAGTCTTGCTATTATTGCCTCTAAGGAGTATTCTGACCGAACTTTTTGTAAGACATATTTGTTTGTTTGGTAGTCCAAGGTATTTTAAGTATTCTTCACCAGCACCACACTTCAAATGAATCGATTTTTCTTTGGTCTTCCTTATTTGGTGTTCAACTTTTACATGCATATGGGGCAATTGGATCAGACGCACCTTAGTCCTTAAAGCAACAGCCTTTTCAATAGTCTAAAGAGATCTTGTGCAGCAGATTTACCCAATGTAATGTGTTATTTGATCTCTTAACTGCTGTTCCCATGAGCATTGATTGTGGACCCAACAAGATGAAATCCTTTGGCAACATCAGTCTTTTCCCCATTTATCATGAGGTCACCCATTGGTTCAGTTGTGAGGGTTTGGATCTTCTTCACATTGAGCTGTAATGTGGAGGCTGCAGGCTGCAGTCTTTGGTCTTCATCAGCAAGTGCTTCAGGACGTCCTCACTTTCAGCCAGGGTGGCTCTGTCATCTGTCTATTGAAGGTGGCTATAAGCCTTCCTCCAGTATTGATACTGCATTCTTTATATAAGCTAGTTTCTCTGATTATTTGCTGAGCATACAGACAATAAATATGGTGATACAACCGTGATGCACACCTTTCCTTATTTAAATCATGCAGTATTGCCTTGTTTTGTTTGAAAAATTGCCTTTTTAAAAACTAATACTTCTTCTTTAAAAAAATCATTTTATTGGGGGCTCTTACAGCTCATATCACAATCCATACATATATCCATGTGTCAAGCACATTTGTACATATGTTGCCATCTTCATTTTCAAAATTTACTTGAGCCCTTGATATCAGCTCATTTTCCCCTTCCTTCACCCTCCCTCCCTCATGAACGCTTGATAATTTGTAATTTTTTTTTTCATATCTTACACTGACTGCTGTTTCCCTTCACCCATTTTTCTGTTGTCTGTCCCCCTAGGAAAGGGTTATATATATGTATATCATTGTAATCGGTTCACTCTTTTTAACCCCCACCTTCCCCTTATGCTTTCATTATTGGTCCTGAAAGGTTTATCTGTTCTGGAAACCCTTTGTTGCAAGCTCTTATCTGTACCCAGTGTACATGCTCTGGTCTAGATGGATTTGTTAGGTCGAATAGGAGTATTGATAGTGGGGAGTGGGGGGTGGGGGAGTATTAAAGAACTAGAGGAAAGTTGTATGCTTCATCGGTGCTGTGCTGCACCCTGACTGGTTCGTCCCTTTCTTGTGTCCCTTCTGTAAGGCAATGTCCAATTGTCTACAGATGGGCTCTGAGTCTCCCTCCACTCTGTGCTCCCCCTCATTCACGTTGATATGATTTTTTTGTTCTGGGTCTTTGATGGCTGATACCTGATCCCATCGACACCTCATGATCACACAGGCTGCTGTGCTTCTTCCATGTGGGCTTTGTTGCTTCCCAGCTAGATGGCTGTTTCTTTATCTCCAAGCCCTTAAGACCCCAGCTGCTATAGCTTTTGATAGCTGAGCACCATCAGCTTTCTTCCCCACATTTGCTTATGAATCCATTTTATCTTCAGCGGTTAGGTAGGGAAGGTGAGCATCACAGAATGCCCGGTTATTAGGACAAAGTGTTCTTGCATTGAGGAAGTACTTGAGTGGAGGCCCAAAGTCCATCTGCTACCTTAATACTTAACATATAAATATATGTACATAGATCTGTTTCCCAATCATTATATATAAATGTATTTACACTCTTGCTCCAGTGTACAAGTTACACAGGAGCACAATAAGTGTTCTGGAATTCCCATGCTTCTCAAGGCTATTCATAGCTTGTTATGATGTACACAGTCGAATGACTTTGCATAGTCAATACAACACAAGTAAACATCTTTCTGGTATTCTCTGCATTCAGTCGAGATCTATCTGATGTCTGCAATGATATCCCTTGTTTCACACTCTCTTCTGAATCCATCCTGAGCCTCTGGCTGCTCCCTGTCAATGTACTGCTGCCATCATTGTTGGATGATCTTCAGCAAAATTTACTTGCTTTTGATATCAGTGATAATGTTCTGTAATTTGAGCACTCTGTTGGATCACCTTAAGTTTGAATTGGTACAGATAAGGATCTCTTCCAGTCAGTTAGCCAAGTGACTGTCTCCCACATTCCCTGGCATAGAAGAGTGAGTGCTTCCAGTGCTTCTTCAGCCTATTGAAACACTGCAGTTGGTATTCCATGCGTTCCTAGAGTCTTGTTTTTTTTTTGCAAATGCTTTCAGTGCAGCTTGGACTTCTTCCTTCACTACCATTGATTCCTCCTCTTTAAATGGCTAAATGTCAGCTGGTCCTTTTTGGTAGAGTGACTGCATATTTCCATTTCTTTTGATGCTTCCTGCATCATTCAATATTTTGTCCATCTTACTCAGCTCACTGCCGTCTAGTTGATGATGCCTCGTAGGACACAGTAGAACTGCCCCTGTGGGTTTCTGAGCTTGTATTTGCTGAAGTAGAGAACCTCTTCTTGGTGATTTCTGTCTGGTCACCTTGTGTAACCACTATGCCACCGTGGCTCCATATTTTGCCTGTACAGTCTTCCAGTATTGCAGCTCGAGGCCCATGTTTTTCTGTAGTTCTCTCAGTTGAAGGCATGCCGAGTGTGCTCTTTTGGGTTTCTCACTCCTGTTCTTCGCAAAGACTCGCAGTGGTGGGACTTAGGCTTCATTCTTTATTTTCCTCTAGTCGTTGTACACTTCTTCTTGCTGCTCTTTTTCTAAGTGTTGAAGATGTACGATTAAGGTGTTGATTTGGGGTCTTTACTGACGTGTTTTCATTGTGACAAGTAGCCCTCTGAGTACTGCTTTTGCTCTGTCCCAGAGAATTTTGATGTGTTGTTTTCATTCTTGTTTAATTTGAAGAATTTTAAATATTCTTCTGTTACGCAGTAGTTTTTAAGCCAGGTATTATTCATTTCCTGAGTATCTGATCTTTCCCCCCATTTATCTTATTCTAATTTTATAGAATTTATCTTATCTTTCTAATTTTATAGTGTTGTGATCTGAGAAGATGCTTTGTAATATTTTGATGTTTTAAAAAATTTCCTGAGCTTTCTTTGTGGTTTACCATATGGTCTATTCTGGGGAATCTTCTGGTGGCCTTGAAGAGAAGGGGTGTATGCTGTGCTGTCGTGGAGTGGAGCGATCTGTTGTGTGTATGTTTGCCTCTGAGGGCAAGGTGGTCGATCGTGCTTCTGTGTCTTTGGGTTCTGTCTAGTCTGGTCTTTGTTGAAAGTGGTGTGTGACGGCCTATTGCAGAGTCATGTGTGTCCTCGGTTTTGTAAGAGTTCGCAAAAAAAAAAAAAGAGTGCGATTAATTAATGTATTGGCGGCTTTTAAGTGAATAGGTATTTATATGGTTATGTACTCCTGTTCAGCTGATCCCTTAATCATTATAGAATACCCTTCTTTGTCTCTTATGCTAGATACTACCTTAAAATGTATTTTATCAGAAATTAATATTGCTACTTCTATTTTTTGATTGCCATTAGCTTGTTATATGTATGTACACAAATACAGTCCTTCCCCCTATTCGTACATTCATAACACGCACGCACGCACGCACGCGCGCACACACACACACACACACACATTCCCTTTCTCCTTTCTCCCTTGTTTGATTTTCAGTCTTATTTTTGCCAGCAAGGAAGAGCCTCGATAAGATGGACGGACTGGGTGGGTGCCACAGCAGGCTCTCAGGAAACATGGCGGTGAGGAAGGTGCAGGATTGGGTACTGTTTTCTTGTACACTTCAGTGCCACTTGCAACAGTAAGCTAAAACCTGCCACATGTCACTTTGTCTCAGGTACATGCTCATCGTGTTTCAGTTACTTAATCTTCCTTCTCTTTAATTCCTAGGCCCCCACACCCACTCAGATCCCCCTTTTAAATGTAGACACCATTCCCAGTATCCACAGCCTGGATTTGGCCCCAGCTGCCCTTTGCTGCTTCATCTTTTACCAAGTTACTGAGAAACATTTGATTGAGACATAGTTAAGAAATAAATCTTAAATCACAAATATCAAAAGAAAAAAGCAATTTTGATAGATGCAAATAGCCAGTCTAGACTATCCTTTTAAAAAAGAATACTTTGTTTTAATTTGCTGACTTGGAGAATAGTGTGGCTTTACTGTAACAACCATCAGCCAGATTATCATCAGTAATGGTTTCTTTCAAAGTGATTCCATAAATAAATCTAATGATCAAGACTATAGGAAAATCGTATCATTTTCACATGTAAAATAAAAGCTTTCAAATAATTTTTTTAAGTAACTGACTTAAAATTTTTTATTATAGAAAGGAGTCACACCAGCAGCTCCAGTTCACACTAATGAAGATGCCGCCACACAGACGAATCTGGGATTTGTCCATGCATTTGTTGCTGCTATCTCTGTTATCATTGTATCGGAGCTGGGGGACAAGACGTTCTTTATCGCTGCCATCATGGCGATGCGCTATAACCGGCTGACAGTGCTGGCTGGTGCGATGCTTGCCTTGGGCCTGATGACGTGTTTATCAGGTGAGTGAGTGTGTTGTGTTTACTGACCTAAGGGGAAAGCAGGATGTTTGGCATTGAGGCATAGACTCAATCAGTCATATCAGCATTTGGTTTACGTTCCAGAATTAGTCAACAATAGATGGTTTTAATACATCTATCCCTAAAAGCCTGATAGTACTTTCACACTGAAATGACCAGCTCCTCAGAGCCAGAGGTACACATTCTTCATTTATGTAACAAGTTTTATCTTTGCTTTTGCTTTGTCTCACTGTAAAATTTTCAGTCCGGATACACTTGCTTACATCTGGTATTTTAGAAAAGGGTCTTGAACGACTACAAAGAGCTGCATTGTTTTCCAGCTGAAAGACATTTGGAAGACCACCACCACTCGAGAGCCGCTACCTCTTCCCCCTGTTATGGCAGAGGAGTGATATGGTCTTGGTTGGAGCCTGTGTTTACATTACTGTTTGATATCCTATCATGCGAACAGACAGACAAACTGAAACCCGGATTCTGACTCGAAGGGACACCTGTGCACAGGGAGGCCTGTGTCCTTGGGTGTAGTATTAAATTAAAAAATTGGCACGGAGGGTGAAGGGCCAGCCCCCACCCGCTGCTACTCCTATTACTACTACTCGGATTCAGTAATACTACTTCAGGGTTCGGTAATGCACAATTGTACGGTTGAGATATATAAGTATTATATTAAAGTCATTGTGAGCATGAGAGATAATACAATAATACAGTCAGGCATGTTACATGGTACCATTGCTCACCTCAGCCCAGCTTGGTGGTCCACATGGAGAGAGGGGGAAGGGAAGGAGGGTAAGGGAACAAGGGAGAGGGGAGTGACCAGGGAGTGAGCAGCAAGGAGCTCAGAGTCAGAGAGAGCGATCTATATTGCTGACTCACACCTATATACCTTTTGGGGGCATGCCAGCCCACTAATTACAGGTAGAGACATACGTCATAGGGAGGAGTTGCACTATAGGTTACACAGCAATGAGGGTGGTCTAGCGGGTGGTCTCTGGGTCTCCATAGGAACCATTATCAGTAGGGTGCAAACCCCTCCTACACGAGCCTGTCCATAGTCCCCTGAGGCAGGGAGCAGGCCCACCCTTGTGGAGGGATGAGACAGCAGTATGGCAACTTATTGCCCTCAGTGGGGGAATGCCTGCGCATCTGACCTCCCCCCACACTTGGGGAGTTCATGACTGCTTCAGGGGAAGTAGATTGCCAGGCCCTTCTTTCTTGGAACCTCTGGGTGGCCTCACACTACCTACTTCGAGTTTAGCAGCCCCAAGCAGTAACCAGTTGTAGCACTGTAAGAATTGTGAGGGGGTGGGCTCTAACCTTCTGACTTCACTAGGAAGACCCGAAAACGAAACCCACTGCTGTCAGGGCCATTCCAACTCAGTAGTGACTGTCTGGATGCAGTAGAACTGGCCCTGTGGCTTCTGAGGCAGTAAATCTTTGTTGTTGCAACGCCGTGCACAGTAGTAAAAACACTGCTGGACCTACCCCGTCCTCACAATTGATCTTGTGCCTGAGCCCAGTGATGCAGCCCCCATGCCAGTCTGTCTCCTTGAGGACCTTCCTATCTTTTGCTGCCCCTCCACGTTGCCACAACACGACGTCCTTCTCCAGGCACTGCTCTTTCCTGAGGACATGTCCATAGTAAGGAAGAGGAAGTCTCGCCGTCCTTGCCTCTAGGGAGCCCTCTGGCCGTACTGCTTTCTTCACAGCAGATTGGGTTGTTTTTAAGCAGTCCATGGTATTTTCAGTATTCTTCTCCAGCACCACAATTCAAGTGCATCACTTTTCTGATTTTCCTTATTTGGTGTTCAGTTTTTATTGCAAGCATATGGGGCAGTTGAAAACTCCATGGCTCACACCAGATTCACTTTGGTCCTCAAAGTAACATCCTTGCTCTTCAAGCCTCTAAAGATGTCTTATGCAGCAGAAAACCTCATCTTTATCTCATGGAGTGGCTGGTGGGCTCAAACTGCTGATCCTGTCGTCACCCACCACACCACCAGGGCGCCTCTTCACAAGGAAGAAGGAGACTCAAACTCCGCATCAGACCACTTCCGGCTTTTGTGAAGTCAGACGTGCTTCCACTCTCCGCCTTCTTCAGCAGTTCTTGCCCCAGCTGTCCCTCTTAAGGCACTTTCTACTTCTCTGTGGGGTTCAGTAATTCATTGCAGTGGCCACACAGTCACAGATTGTCGCATCATTAGGGGTTTCTTAGGGATGTGAGCAGTCAGGATCATTTCACTGAGGCCCAGTACCCCCATCTTTACTGCTTTGACCTTTGTAAACGACAGAGACGCCTCAGAGGCATCCCTCTTGCTTATGATGAGGCGGCGTGACTGGACAGGCTAAACCATATTTTCATGCAAATCACACGTTAGATGCTTTGCATTGCTCTGCAGCCAGCCACCATTGGTGGTGGTTTTATGAGTGCGCTATACCGATATGTGTATTTTAACATGTTGCTGATTTTGGGTCAGTTAAAGAAAAATTCAGTGTGTTTCATGTGAAGCCTGTGTCTTTGGTGCCTGTCAACGTTGGGTTTGGTTCCGAACAGCAGCACTTTGCCCATCTGCCTCAAAAGTTTCTAGCGCAGCCCTTCTGGCAGGATGCTGACCCTGTTCTGTGTACCGTTCTCCCAAGCAGGAAGAAAGCACTGTGTCCACCCCAGGAACAGCCCTGGCCCTGGAGCAGGAGGCATGCAGCTCTGCACCCGCCGGCCAGGCGTGGCCACTCAGGTGGGCGGGACCTGCTCAAGGCATCCAAGCTCATTCTAGCTTCCATTTGGCTGCTCTGGCTGGCCGGCCGTGGTGCTCAGGTTGTTTGGATTTCCTGTCTGTGTGGATGCCACAGGACGCATGTTGAGAGTCGGCCTTAGAGTAATGTGACCAGACATCCTGCTTTTGGCGGGACGGTCCCGATTTTTAACAATTTTCCCACGTCCTGTGGTGTTTTAAAAAAGTCCCGATTTTTGGAAAGAATGCACGACAAGATAGGGTATACGGTTTTCGGCTGCCATGTGGCTATTTCGCTAGGATATGAGTTTTATCACTGGTGTCCCGCTTTACCAAGGTTAAAATATGGTCACCTTAGCTTAGAGGGGCTGTGTGTCCCTTCATTCTGACAAGTTGGGTCTGATGCACCGCCCACGGTCTCTGTGGGGCTGGGGCACTGTGCACCCACCCACATGGTCCCAACCACCCAGTGTTACGTGGGGCTGACTCATGTGTGGGCAACTGCCCCCACCCTGCCCTGGATCCAGCCCATCCTTGGACTCCACAGCCCCAGGCACAGCCTTCTGCTTGCCCTTTTGCCAAGTGCCTGGACACAGGTTGGCTACAAGGCATGCCACTTCTCTCAGCCTGGCCACAGAGTGCCCTGGAGCAAACGCACCGTTTCATGGTTTATATCCTGAGTACCAGCTCCATGCGTGACTTCCTGCCCATGGCTCATACCTGTATCATACCAATATGATCAGGAGGAACATTTGTGGACTCTTGGAGGAGGGTGACAGCAGCTGAAACTCACTTCTGGAAATGCCAGGAGCCAGGTGCAGTGCATGCAGGGGGCACTAGGGCTGAATTCCTTAGGTAATGTTTTCATTTCAGCATCATTCACATGAGTACTCGGTGTGTGCATGTCCAGACTGGGGAAGTGCACTGTAGGAAGCTGGGTAAGAGGTCACTTGTCAGGTGGGCAAAGGACTTGTGGAGGAAGGAGGCTGAACAAGACTTCTCAACAGCAGCCTCTTCAGACACTGAGTTTTAGGAAGGAGAACATATGGAAGGAAGTTCACCTTCTGTTGGTGAGAGCAGCATTCATTCCACATTGTTGTGTTTGCACGGGGGTGTGGGGGGGCTGCTTTTGGTTTGTGGCTTGCATGTCTGTCCTGTGCGGTAGCACAGGGCTGGAGGCAGGGTTAGCCAGACTGCCGGGCTCACAGCCACTCTCTGCCCTCACTAGCAGGGGGACTTCCCCAGAATCTGGACCTTGTTGAGACAGGGTTGATAGTGTTACCTCACCGTTATTACTCCTCCTGCGGCCTGCCTCCACCTTCTCTCCCATCCACCAGGAGACTCACTTCTGCCTCTGCTGCTGTTGCTGTAAAGGCACCATCCACCAGCTTTCCTGACTACAGAGCCCTCAGAACACATTAGTGGGAACCCCCATCGTTAACTCTTGTGTTCTGTGACATCCTGTTTCTGGTATAGTTGGCCTCCCTGAGAATTGTTATGTGCTATAAATACTGATACTCCCCATGACTTTAAATGAGTCCAGAGACCCCTGGTCGCATAGTGGGCTACTCATTGAGTTGATAACCAGAAGGTCAGCAGTTCGAAACCATCAGCCACTTCCAAGGGAGGAAGATAATGCTTTCTACTCTTGTAAAGATCTGAAGCCTCAGAAACCCAAAGGGGGTAGTTCTTCTCTGCCCTGTAGGGGCTCTGTGAGTCAGAATTAATAGCCGTGAAGGTTTTTTTGAGGGGGCTTTTGCCCTGTCCCATTTCTCCCACTTACACTAATGCCCTCTCTGAGTGTTCTTAGCTGGGTAATAAAACGGGACTTCCCGAATCTCTAGCTTCCCTGCAGACACACTTCCTTGGAGCTTCACCATTGGCAGGATGCAGCAGGGCCAGTGCATGGCAGCTCCTTGGTGAGTCGGCCCAGAGTACCTTGTTCCTAGAACGGCTTCCAAGGGGGGGTGGGGGGGTGGCAGCTGAGGATGGAAAAACCAAGTCGTTTTTCTGTTCTCAGTGGTGGAAAGAGGAGAAAAGCCAGAATTTTGTCAGTAAAGTAACTTTCTTATTTGTAGATTCCCTGAAGATAAAAGGGAACACTAATTTTAGGAGATCTCCAGAGGTTTACTACATTTTTTAGTAAAACCACTTAAGAATATAATTTTAAATTCTGACAGTTGCGCTAACAGTCCACAGAGTACCAGTATACTTTTCCCTCAGGCTTATCTCTTGCTCAGCGTTTGAACCTGTGTTTCCTTCGGCATTTGTATGGGTGCTCTTTCTCACCTGCCCATCTTTACATAGACGTATGTGTAGCTTTCCCACTGCCTTTCCAATGTCCTTTTGGCTTTCTTCATGTATGGTGTTCTTTATGTCATCCCACAACTCATCAGATCGATTCTTGAGATATCTCTAAATTTACGTAGAATATTCAAGGTCCTGTTTCAGCTTATGTGAACTAGTTTTTAACATTCATCAGCTTTCACCTGAGCCTGCCTGTGGGCAGTTTGTGGTCTGGCTTGTTTGGGCTGACGATGTTGAGCTTCTCCCACATCTCTTACCACAGCCCGAGAAGGGTCAGATTCCTGGGTATTCCATTGGTGAGGTCCATGGGTGTCGTCGCCATTTATGTTGGAAACAGGTATTTACAGTGAAGAAGCTGGTCTTCAATTTCTAGGTTCATTTCTCTCAGCAAAGCATTTTCCTTCCTCTTTGTTTCTAACTTTTGTATTATAATCAGTAATTACCACAACATCTGGGTTATATGTTTGATCAGTTTCAGTCTGAAGAAGTTGGTAGAATTCCTCAAGTTATCATTGGCTCTAGTAGGCTTAATTTGAAAACAGTTGTATTAATTGCCCTTCTGTGGAGCCGTGTTAATGATATTCTATCACAGATAGTATACTTCAGGATGGATCTTGAAATGTTCTTGACCGTTTGTCTTTCCTGGCATAGTAAGCCATATGATTGTTTGAGCCACTCAGATTGGCCAGTACCTGCCCATTTTAGCTCATTAATGCCTAGGATATTCATCTTTATGCATTCCGTACATATACATGTATATTATATGTGTTTATAAGGTATACTTAAAACTCCGTTCTATCAAGTCAAATCAAATTCACTTCAACCTTTTAGGACACAGTAGAACTGCTTCATCCTTCTCCTGCTCTGTGACTATAGGTTTGAACTGCTGACCTGTGGTTATCAGCCCAGCTGTAACCCACTGTGTCACCAGGGTTCATATAAGTAATATGTATACATAATACGAATACAGATGGGCACAGATGTATATAGAGTACCACATTTCTAAACAGGATCTTAAAGTCTTTTTAATCAAAAGCATTTTATTGGAAAATAAATGCACTTACTTTTGACTTACCGACATGGTTGGGTTCCAGGGACTAGGTCATTGTGCAAAAATATGTACTATGTGAAAATGGAAGATGAGTACATTATTGCACCAGTGCCAAATAACATCCTTACATAGATGCCAAACCGTTGAGAATCCTGGTTGAACAAACTTAAAATTGAAACCATCACAGTCAGCATTATTGTCACCTTACCTCTTGGCCTTCCTTACTGTCACCTATATGTTGTTAAAGCACAAGATTGCCACTATTATCCTAAATTCAGAATGCCAGCTAACAAAATAGTTGATAAGTGAGAAGAAAGTGTTTAACAGTTTGGTTTGTATATTTAGAGATAGCCAATTCAGTTTTAAAATGTACACTTCAACTTACATACGTACAATTCACCATCCATAATTATTTCCATGAATGATACAATTTACTGTTTACTCGTGTTCATTACAATTGACGTCACTGGCTTCCTGCTTTCAGTGCTCTGAGCTCAGTATTGCATGCTTATCATCATCATTGGTCTCCCGTGTCTGTCTTGTAGAGGTCTGTATAGTGTTGGCCTTGTCTGCCATCCCTAGATTCCTAGTTATTTGTCCTGCTGCCCCCTTTCAAGTAAAAAAAAATAAAAAAGCAACAACACTACGCTTGGCAATGAGAATATTTTGTATTGTTGTCCAAAATCCAGGATAAAGTCTAAGGAAGTTTAAGTATCTGCTTCTGCAGCTCCCTGAATTGTTCTGGACACCCCTAGCAGGCAGTATCACCCATTTGGTGAAACACTGACCTACTCGATACATTTTTTTGAGATAGGTGAGAAGAAGCAGAATTTGAATCATGATTCTGCACTAAATAGTTTTTAAAATTTAAAGATGTGTGATGAAAAAGTGTGTCACCTATGTGTTCCCATGTTATGAAATCTTGGATCCGTTCATCCAGGTTATGTCAAGGCTAACCTGCCGAAAGCCCTGTGTATGCCCCACACAACGTAGGGGCAGTGTGGCCCCCGGTGAACATGACTCGGGGAGTTCAGTGTCTTATGCGGGGCCCTTCCGGAGTCCATGCCGCCTTCAGCTGGACCATTGATTTCTTGAGAAGTTGTGGCAGGTCTTTGACTAGACCGAAGGGTTCAGGGTGAGTGGGATGTTCAAGATTGTGGTCTGTTTTCATTCAACTGACTGGCATCTCTTTTCTCCCGTTTTGTCAAAATGATGTTGTGGCAGTTCCCTTTTCAGTTAAGCTGACTTTTCTCAAAACTTTCCTTTTAACACAGGTTGAGAATACAAATTCATATAACAGTATAGATGTAAAATCTCAGGTCGTGAAAATGTTCAATTTTCAGGCCTTTCTTTCCTTACACTGAGGAAATACATGCTTGTGCAAAGGTTACACATGAAAGTGTGTGGCATGAGGTCAGGCCACTTGATTCACAGGCTCAGAAGCCCTACATAAGGAGGCTGTGGTGTGGAGTCCACTCAGCTGCAGCCGCTGTGTCCCTTTGTCTCCAGTGCTAGCTTAGCTTCTCTTAGGGAGTGAAGTTAGGGTCTGTGAGAATTAACACATGTACTGCTGTTGTGTTTCTTGCAGTGTTATTTGGCTATGCCACCACAGTCATCCCCCGGGTGTATACGTACTATGTTTCAACTGTATTATTTGCCATTTTTGGCATTAGAATGCTTCGAGAAGGCTTAAAGATGAGCCCGGATGAGGGTCAAGAGGAACTAGAAGAAGTTCAAGCTGAAATAAAGAAGAAAGATGAAGAAGTAAGTCACAGCTCTGCTCAGTATCCTGACCCAAAAGGCACTGTTCTGAGAATGACCACCGCACAGCGGTTTTTCCCTTGTCACGGCTGTGTGATAAATGTGGGGACACAATGAGAGTTCCGTTTTACCTAGTTTGCAGGCTCGGAGCTGGCTCTACTAGGATTCCTAGAGACAGGATCCGGAATGGGAACCTCAGGTTCCCTAGTGAGATTATGTATGAGCTCTTGAACGCAGGAACAGTCCAAGAGCAAGTTAACACGATGGCTACGACACCCGAAAACCGAAATCTCCAAATGTGACGCTTTTGCTTTGCAACACCCCCCCGCCCCCCCAGCTCTGCACAGGTTTTAAGGTGCTATTGGCATCTCTGAGCACTTCCCAAGGGAGTTCCACACTCTGGACTCAGCAGTTAGGGCACCCTTGAGGGACGTGCCTTGTGTTCCTGTCGGAAGGAGCAAGGGTAGGGCTGTAGGGTCGATGGAATAAGGTTTCCCAACAAAATGCCCAGAATCACATGCTTGTGAGCCTGAAGAACGAACATTGTTGAATCTTTTTTTTTTTTGCTAATGCCGTTTTCAGTTTTCTTAAAAAACTTCATAATAAAAAAACCTAACCCAAACCCATTGCCATCAAGTTAATTCTGACAGATAGTGACAGGCTGTTTCTAAGGCTGTAACCCTTGATGGGGGCGGGGCCTCATCTTTTCCTTTCTTCCCGCCAGGTGAGTCAGTAACTCGGGGAGCGCTTGATGGGTCTGGGAGCAGTGGAAGAATGAAGAATATCACATTGTTGCTCCGTGAGGCGGATGGCTCACGGGGGACACAATGGAAATTATCGGAGATGCTGTTTGGGACTAATGTCATTTTTGTTGTTTTTTATTTTTAACTTTAGCTTCAACGAACTAAACTCTTAAATGGACCAGGAGATGTTGAATCGGGTGCAAGCACCACGCTACCTCAGAAAAAGTGGTTGCATTTTATCTCGCCCATCTTTGTTCAAGCTCTTACCCTCACATTCTTAGCCGAGTGGGGCGATCGCTCTCAACTGACCACCATCGTCCTGGCAGCTAGAGAGGTGAGTTGCGACTAGGATGGCACTTCTTTTGCTCCAGAGGAATGCTGGGCAGGGGCAGGGGCAGCCTAGAGCAGTGGTTCTCAAACTTCCTCATGCCGCGACCCTTTCATGCAGTTCCTCATGGGGTGGTGACCCCCAACCATAGAGTTATTTTCGCGGCTACTTCATCACTGTCATTTTGCTGCTGTTACGAATTGGGCAACCCCTATGAAAGGGTCGTGCGACCCTCAAAGGGTTCACGACCCACAGGTTGAGAACCGCTGGCCTACTGCTGGCTGATTGGTTTTAGTTGACAGTCTGGGTACACTGCTTAACTGACCTCCTATTGGTTCCTGAGGCCGTCTTGCTGGCTCCTCTCCCCCCTTTGCCAAGATGTTCTCACTCGTTTTTCATTCTTTTCTCAAACTTTTCCTTAGCATACGTGTTGAGAATATAAACGTATTTTGTTGGAGGTCGGTCTGGCAGTACATACCGAAAGCCTCCTTATTAAGTGTGTACCTTTGGGCTCTTGTGTTCCACACCCTGAGCCATCATTGAGTGCTTGCTCTATTGCCACTTTGTTAGTGAGGAATGAGCAGCAGCCCGAGAGTCCAGCAAAGGAGTATTGGTTCTGTTCTTTACAACCGTCCCTGATGCTCTTTGAATTGTCACTCTTCAGCATTATTTTAATGATGTGCAAAAAGGAGATATTTTAAAAGCATTCTTTTTTAAAAGATAAGCAAAGAACAAAACATCCAAGGAAATAAAAATGCTTACAGCACGCTCTTTGGGTCATGCCCTTATCAGTGGTTTGGTTGCTTCTATTTAGAAAACTGGTGACGTTTTAGGCCTAGAATGGTAGTAAGCTAGGGGAGACTTCAGATCACCCCGTACCCACATTTGCTGCACAGACTCGGAACCTGAACTTGTTCAGTCATATAAGTGGGGTGATCACAGGGGCCAGAACTAGAGCGGAGGGTGTCGTAACTAGCCTTCCAGTTTTTTCTACTGTAATGTTCATAATTGTTAAGTGAACTTCTTTAAAATACACATATTGTTTTAAGTTTTTCATAGCTCTGTTCCTCTTAGGAGCCCTGGTGGCGTAGTGGTTGCGAGTTGGGCTGCTAACTGCAAGGTCAGCAGTTCGAAACCACCAGCTGCTCTTTAGGAAAAAGAAGACTGGGCTTTCTACTCCATAAAGAGTGACAGTGTCAGAGACCGGCAGGGACAGGTCTACCCTGCCTAGGGTTGTTGTAAGCTGGAACCGACTCGATGGCAGCGTTACTCCTCGTGACAGAAACTGTGAAAGTAGTGCATGAGGCGTCTGTTGCCGCTCACGGGCAGTCTAAGCTTTACCCAGATGGACTGCACTGCTACTCTTGATGATACTCTGTGTCCGAACTCACCATATTAACTGCTTCAATAGCTGTTACATTCCA